TTGTAAATAATTATTAGTGTACAGTGATGATTACAATAGCGGAAGAATTCGCTTAGCGCTGTGTCAGGGGTATAATTGCCTTCTGGCAACAGCACTAACTCCCTCAACTCGACACCGACTGTACGAGAGCCGTCTTGATGTTTGTGTGGGGATTCGTCTTTGATTTTCCGGACTGTACAAAAGCCAACTGTACGGAAGCTGTCTTTGCTCTCCTCCATACCGAAATCGTTGGCCTAGAATAGTTTGTCTGGTTTCCCGCATTTCTGCCGCTGCTTTTTTTGTCTTTGTTCATAAATTTGCATAATTTGGGAAATTTTCTTTGTGCATGTATTCTTTGCTTATTGTTGCTTGCATTTATTCAAATTTTCAACATTGACGAAGGCGTTTTCGATTGTTCATGATAAGTTTCGGAGAATAAAATAAGAATTTGAAATAAGAAGAGATGAATGAAAGAACGTAGGCGAGGTACTGATGAAAGCCAAGAAGTGCAATTTCTGTTCAATCATTTCCTCTCTCGCAAGGATATGTGCATCACGGGAACCATGTTCAGCGCTATCGAATGCTTTTTCTGTAGTCCATAAAAGGGGAAGACAGAGTGCAATTTAATACTCTACACCGCTTCATTTTGAACCAATCCAGAATGTTGCAAAAGTTCTACTATTTTATTGCTGAACAAAGATCCTCAACCGCTCTGTCTTCTCTCATTTTCAAGAAAAAAAAAAGAAATTCATCTTCCTCTTTTTCTCCTCCGTCCAATAAAAAAAGCAATTTATTTCTTTCAAGCCTTAGTCAAAAACACGATCTCGTAGCTAGCCCCTTCCTAAAACTAAAGGTGCATCTTCAGAACTGGCCAAGTAAATGTTACCTCCGAAAAAGTGATGTAATCCTCTTTTTGTCCTTTCCTGTACATAAAGGCATCGTTACCAGAATGGTGAGTAAGAGCGGGAGAGGGAAGAAGGCAAAGTTTTTGCCATCTTATTATGCCTGCTGCAGAAAGTACTAAATCCAGGTTCATTAAATGGTTCGTGGTCAGGAAATTTCCCCAGTTCTCCACTGATGCCAAATCAGTGCGGGTTTTTTGGGAATCTTTTTCCAAGGTCTTTCGTCATTGCGGTTGATATTTCTCAATGCGAGAACCAAATGAAGGACATATTCGGCTGCAGACAAACTTGTTGACGAAATTGGGTGCGCTGCCGTTGATTATTATTTCAGTAATTCTGCGTATTGTATGAGTAAATTGTTGTAACAACATTTTTGCTTG